TATATATATAATAATAATAATAATATATATATATATATATATATATATATATATATATATATATATATATAGCGTCGGAAGGAAGAATGAGGGAGGTTATATGTATGTAGGCATGCGGGTATGTGAAATCAACTTGTGGACGAAATAAAAACATAGAATAAGATTATTGAATTATATTGCCATCAAAGCACAGCACTTTCCTCAATAACTAAAAGCATGTAGTTTGATTAGGCGTAAATGCATCACACTCTTTGTCTGGACTGAAAGTGCAACTGAGTGCAATTAAAATCGGGATCGAATTCAGAACGCAGCAAACTTCAGAGTCAAAGTGAAACATAAATTAAACACAGCGTGGCAACAGAACTATCCATTCTGGGCTCAATTCAAATAAAAACTTACCTTCAACACTTATATTAATTGGCTTTAAGTTGACTTCATCCGTATCTGTACCCACAGATGAATCCGATACCGAGCCTGTACGTCCCAATAGAAAGGTAGACGGAGTTGCCTTCAATCTTGCACTCTGAGGGCGCGAGAAACCCCCCTGCATAGTATTCATGATATCATCCGTATTATTACTTGACGTTCCTCTGGCAACGCCTGCTTCGTTTGTCTGCGACTCCAGTGATATCTTGGAAGAAGAACTTTCTACTGAGGATCTAGCATACATTTCCAGCATATTTATGGCTTGCATTGAGCCATCGCTTTCTTCTCGGGTTAAACCACGCGGTTCTGGTCCCATATCTTCCGCCATTGTCCCCAGAAAAGACAACTCTAGTATTAATAAGCAGGTTTGTTTTGATTCTATACTAACTACAGGTCTTACTTTAAACTCTCCAGTACAGCATATATGGTAGCACGATCTCACTTTTAAGTCTCTATCTCTAAGTTGCTCTATATGTATATACAATTTATTTGGCAGCATCTATTATACTCATATTTAGATCGTTTACATCGAGCTTTTTATTCAATTGTAATGATAATTGATATGGGGTACAAATAAACTGCTTTTATAATATCATAGTGGGAGTAATAAATATTCTTGGATAATTTATTTATTTTATTTGGATTACAGAGTATGTCAGACTACTACAGAGTACAGACGCAGACCAAAATTTAAAATAAAAAATATATAAAACGGTCCGGCTTTTTGAACCGATTAGAGATTGCTACATTCCGAAGTTCTATATTTAAAAAAGCCCGCCCATTTGTGTTGAAGTCATTTTTCGAAGCCCCCTGAAAACGACGCCACTGTCTATATCCAGAAAAGCCCGCCCATTGTGTTGAAGTCAATTTTCTAAACCCCCGCCCCCCGGCCAGGGCTCATAACGTAACCCATATACAGAATAGACGTACTACGTTTCGACGTTTACGCGTTGAATTTAAACGTAAATGTGTTTTATCAAAACCTGATTATTTTGAAATTTGAATTATTTCCACCAATGAGCGGCTGCGCATGAGACTTTCCAATTTCTAAATACATATTTTGTTTTGTGAATTAGGTATACACTATTAAGTGATCCTAATTGTAATTTATGACGAAAGTGTACTAATACCAAATGGTCGTTTAGTATGAAAGCATCACGAAAGACAGAGAGCTGGCATCTTTGCGTGCAACGGAAGAGCTGTGTGATGATACGTACGTGCTCATCATTATGTGAACTACACAGCAGTCCTAAAACAACATACGAAGGCGTGAGATCGAAGCACGAGCCCGTAGCACCGATTAATATATAT